ATGATAGGTTCAGATAAAGCCAAATTCACTTTACTGGCATCATTAAAAATATGGGCCTTAGGAGAATTTGCAAAAATTGCAAACAGAATCCCGATGCATGTAGCATTGAAGATATTCAGACTGTGCAAAATTCGACATACTTTGACTTGCGAACATATTATGATACTTATGCAGCAGCGTGTAAAGAATAGTAGCTCCTGAAACATGGTTCGTAATGAGCGCGAGGCTGCTCGAGCGAACAAAATGATGCTTGATGTACTTGACACTGGAGGTACTTCAATGCCATAGAGCCGCAGCCTACTTAAATCTATCCCCCTCCCAGACAGTTAGGAACAAGTGAGCAGTTCAATACGCAGTAAAATTTGCTTAGGAGTTATGAGTCATTTAAAGTATAAACATGTAGAGTTGCGGTCGCATCAGATGTAGTCTCATTTTGGACAACATGAACCTTTAAAGTGGCTGAGTTAAGCAGTTCATATGAAAAAACCTGTCTCATTAAGTACCATACCTGCCCACTTCGCTAATTATCTATAACGCTGTTAAAAAATGAGTACTAGATAGATTTCTAAGCACCTTTCCACCGATGAGATGATATTTTAACTTATGAGATGATACTTTAACTGACCAACAGGGCAATCTATTACAACCCTACAAAAGAAAACAATTTAAGGGAGTAGCAGAACTGAAGCTAAGCAGCAGCTAGTTGTGACCATGAACGTAACGTGAAAATGAACTATAAACACTTACTCAATTATATTCCTGTCAAATTGTGTGACCTCCGGATAGCTATAGCCTAAATCGTTCGCTATGAGAGCCACAAGGCCTTTTACCTCACTGGCTACTATCATTATACTTAATTTTCTGTCATTTAGAGGATACTACCAGTTAGATAATATGCAGAGCGAAGTAGCTCAGGTATGCCACAATATTTCGAACTATGCTCGGGCATCCAAGTAATCAGATTCACTTTTCATTGACTTTGCGATGAGGACATCTGAAAATGTGACCTCTAGCATTGCTAGCATATTTTTCAACTTCTATTAAATTTTTAAGTTGAAATTTTAAGCTTATTTCTCAACTCAATTTTTAAGCCTTCCTGTACAGTGGATCATCATTATCAATAACATGGACAGTATTGTTTAGCTATACAAGATCGGGACAGCTGGGATTAACGGCGAGATCAGTGAGCGTATGGTGAAACAGATGGCGTACTGACTATCCAAAGCACTCATGGGATAGTATCGATAATATGGCATAGTCTGTGAAATTAAGTTTCTTTTGAATGTTCCAATTGCAGGTGCATGATGCGTTAAACGGTCTGGTGTTCCGCGTTAGCAAAACCAGAGCATTCTGCAACAATGTTAGATCGGTTCCGTCTTGCTGCAGTATATCCTGCATTTATCATAGATGTTTTCACTCAGGATTTATTTCCACGTAAGTCATGCGATTGTGAACGGTTGGTGTTCCACGTAATAAACAATATGGAGATAAGGAACCGCTAGTGTCATGTCCCGGCAAAGCGAAACAGCCTTAAAGTTGATGATGACTGTAAAGCATAATGATCTACAACCGTGAGATGTCAGTCACCTTTACACTTCCCTGATTTGGCGCCATTTGTCACGTTCTTCTTTAATGAATACATCATGCTATATCACTATTCTGGAGCACTTTGCTGCTTTTCTAAGGCTATAACTAAAACTTGGCAATGAAAAACGCTATAGCCACCTAGTTTCCTACCATACAGCATTTTTC